ATTAGGCGTGGCTTTGAAGACATGCCGCAGTTCGGGCTCCAGTGATGGCTCTTTGCAGCTCCCTCAGGTAGAGGACCCTCTCGTACGCGCAGGCTGCCCGTGAACACAAAAGACGTCCTCGGTTCGTCAGCTTGCTGCTGTCTGCTGGCCTCCAAACCACGGACTCGGCTTCTGCAAGCGAGTGAACGAGGTACACGGCCTTGTGGATGTCTCTGGGTAGGTTGTTCCTCGAGAAAGGCTCCGCCACTCGCGTAGCAGAGCGCGAATCTCTCAGCCCAGGCGTCAGCAAATTGTTACTTGAATTGCTGTGTCCTCAATCCAGCCGCTGCACCATGTATGCTTTCGCTGTAGGTGTCGTGCTACTTAGCGCGATTGCAAGACATTACAAATTGCTTCCAGTACAGGATGCAAAAGTTAGTTCGCAGGGAAGCTAAGTTCCCTGGAGGAGGTTGTGGGTGAGCGAGTTTCAGTTACAGAGACAAGTGCCGGATGAAGTTGAAGTTAATTGAAAAATAAGAGTGCAGAGCTCAGCGGAAGTTTTACAACAAGCAAAGTCTGCTAGGCTGTTCTGTCCGAATCACGCCTACAGGATCCTTATATGCGGAAACAGGGAGATTTCGTAGTGCCATTAGCCAACCCCTCCAGAACTCGGCATTGCCCTGGACGCAAAACTGACATAACTGTCAGAGGACTTTGCCCTTTTGAAAACTCACAAGATCCAAACATTCCTGTTTTCCACGTCTGATCGGTTAACGTTTGACGGCGGATTTTGGGTGCAATCACCCATACCTCAGGCAGGCGTCCGCTCCAGGACACGACCTATTTAACATGTCTGAAAGGCGATATTTCTCTTCACGTACAGTTTGAAAGAAATATTCATTGTCTTCTTAAGCAATGCCGTACGTATGTATGTAGGTGCATTTACATTACACATGCAATCTGGACCCGCGCTGACTCCGTTGATGCTGTATTTTAACCATTAGCTTAGAAACCTAAAAATCACAAATAGACCCGGATATAAACAGAAAACAAGTTTTACAATTTGTCATTTACAGTGTTTTATTAATAAGCAATGATTTATTAAACAAATAAAATTGCATTAAGTAAAGGACTTTTGAAATGCTACTCATTGTGAAAGAAGGTTAACATAATAAACACTAAAAAACTATAATCTTCTTAATAAAAATACAATTTACGTAACTTCACTGAAAGAAAAAATACTAAATTTGGGGTAAAATCTAATTGGTAACACTGAAGTTGCCTGCAGGTGGATGACACGAGCGACATCAGAATCATAGCGGATTATTTGTCAACGAGAGAAACAGATGACGTGAGTAAACTGCCATTTTCACAGTGGTGAACACTCTGTTATAATTGCTGGAGCACGAAAGAGAGTAAAGACTGACTGTAAAGCAGCAAAGGATGGGTTGTTGTTTCAGCTGTAAAGACGATGGGTCGAACCAGGTATTACTTCCTTTAATTTTGACAAGTGTCGTTCTAAATTTCTCGGAGAACCGCAATAGAGTGAGTGACTCAACGTCACGAGTTTTGATGATCAGGTACTGATACTCTGCATGTCGAAAATTAATTTTCATTTCCATTAATATAAGTCGAAAAGTTATGAAACAATACGACTTATATTTTAAAGGTAGTTTCGTGAAAAGTTGGCTTCGGATTCTGATACTGTTATGAGAAGGTTGCTGATAAGAAATCCAGGACATAGCTTTTTGAGACATCTTTTGTTAAGCAGCTTTCTGTCAGTAAAAGTGCTTTTGCTAATAACACTCTGTTTAGGGAGGTGAGGCCAATGAGAGAACACATTTGCTAGTGGATCCTGTTAGCAACAATACAACTATTCAAAGAGTATCTAGGTATGTAGTTTTTGTTTATATTTAAATAAATGCATGTCACAGATGATGCTTTTAAAGAAATCACGTACAAAATTAAAGTTGTTTACTGTTTATTCAAATACTTTTTTATTTTGTGTTTTATTACAATTTGTGGAAGATGCACAGTTATTGTTATAAAATTTCAAAAGTAAATTTGTGTTAGTTTCAAAGTATTGAAGGCAGTTAAGAGTTTTAATTCTTACAAATCTTTTGAATCAGTTTCTTAACGAACAATTATTTCTGTGCATTAAATGCAGAATGTATATTCTGTTAAATTTCAGTGAGGATTACTCATCTTGTCCCCGTTCCTTGCCAAAGAAGACAGATGAACAGTCAGCTCTCAACCAGATTCTTCAGGAGACGGCCACGTATGTAAAGATTCTGTTCTCTGGTTTGAACAATGTATAAAAAATCTCTAATGGAAATATGTGTGCTTCATGGAGGGAGTAAGGAAGCTTATTTCGTTCTACTTGGTTCTTGCTTTTCCTTTACTTAATAAATGATGTCTGTTGTAGTAGGTACTTTATCCTAGGAAGTTCAAATAGTGGCATACAGGCAACACATTGCCATAAAGGGGGAGCGTAAACCAATCAGATCTGATGAATCCGGTCATTTGCTTTTGTTTGAGCAATGGTAAACATACATATGACATCACAAGTGTGCAAGTGAACATTATGATGATGGTATGTGATAACTAAGGCCCAGAATTTTATGAAAAAATCATTTTTTTAATTATGAGCTTTATTATATGCTAATTATTAAATGTCCACAAACCATAATCAATCAATCAAATTCGGAGATTTTATATAGTATATTATTCAATGCATCATATTTTCATTATATTCAAGTTATTATTCATATTTAAATACTTTTTTGTTCTTAATGTGGCATATTTCTCTTGTAAATTCAATTAATATGCTTGTTTGTTACCCAAACTGAAAAGTTTACTTCACAAATGTGAATGCAAGTGCTATTAGTGAGAAATCATTGGAATGTCTTTTGTTCGTTGCAGCAGTATTTGCACTTCGAGATGATATCATGGTGCTGGTACCCTGAAAAAACTTGTCCAATTATGTATGATGTGATAATTTATCTTTAATAAAGAATTTATGGCATTGGAATCGATACTTTGACGATAATACAGAAGCAATCATTATATTTAATATAATTTTCACCATTACCGTCATCTTGTTGGATGCAATTACACTCGGAGAACGTATTTCACAGTTGTAAAGAAATCCAAATTGTGACCATGTTACTGTGTGTGGGTGTGTATATAAATATAAATATAATTGTGTGTTTCACATAAATATTGAGTTCACACAGTGCGATGGTTACACACAGCACCCTTAAAATTGATTGTATTATCTGTACTTGCATACATACATACATACATACATACATACATACATGTGTGTGTGTTCACACACGTTTCCTCATGATATTTTTATTTTCAATTTATAATTGGTGTATTACAATAATTAATAAACTTGGCCAAATAATACTTATAAAATTACAAGCTCTTTTTCCGTTTTTTTTTCTTTCTATCTTCTCTTTTTCCCTCCTTTAATTTTGTGGATTTAGTTTTACTTTGAAGTATGTAACACTGTAAATGGTCTTCTTTTACAACATTTCTAAATGCCTTCCCTGTATGTCATTTATAGTTCTAGAAAACTTCAGCAAGGTTTTGTGAATTTTGTAAGTTCACCATGCCCCATGATCTCATCCAGTGATAGTAAATATGATGCATTTCATACATAAGTCATACATAAGATTTATTAGTCTGGCCAACAAGATCTTGTTGGGAAGGCTTTTCTAATGAAACAAAATGAAATGTTATGTCTGTTGGGAACACAAATGTTGCAATCTAACCTGTTTCTTCTATTTCAAATCTGGTGTTATCCTCAACCCCAAATCTTCGAGTAAATCAATTGTTTAAGTGTTGTTTTTTTTTTGTTTTTTGTTTTTTTAGCTTCTTAGATAAGTGTAGGGTTTTTCTTTCTGAGAAATACTTGACATTTTTGACTATTTAGTGACAGTATCCAAGGGTCTAACAATTCTTTAACTTTGTCAAAGTTTCCTTTTAGTTGGTCTGTATATTCAATTTGATTTCAAATGTTTGAGTTGTCTACAAAACAAACTCCAGCCTGATTTAATGTGTAAATCATGTCTTGTTGTTTTAAAAATTAGATTGGTTCCAGGGTACTTATAAGACTCCATTGATAATATGGAATATTAATAAGGCATTTCTTGAGTTATTCTTAGATTTAAAAAGTGTCCATTCAAGGTCACAAGCTAGAAGGAAAGGGTGACACTAATCAGTGATTGAGGCCTACTTGTGATTGAGAGCTTCATTACACTTTAACTTTTTGTTACCGAAGCTTCCAATTTAATGACTAGTGTACCCCTCTCCTTCCAGCTCGTGATCTTGAAGGGGCACTATATTGAAATTGGAGTATACTGAATGAAATACTTGTAGAATTTGTGGTTGAAAAAGTGAGATCACATCAGGTATCCTTGGAGTTCTGCTAATTTCCCATTTCTAGCAAAATGATACCTATTTTAGTTTTGCCCTAGTTTTATATCAACTTCACTAAGAGTGTGTGTTTAAGAAAATTTTATTATTTTGTGATATCCCTTCCATTGTCAGTTCTGTGATGGTTCACAATTTTTGCAACTCGCTTCCAGAGCTGCTCCTAAATGACATGTAATGTTAATGACGTGTAATGTGGAGAGGTGGGTGTGGTTAGGCATATGTATACTTATATCTGTCTGGGATGTTGCAGCAATGTGATTGATGTGGCAGCCTTGGACTCGCATGTGCTTGAGCAGCACGAGTATCATGAGCGAGTGAAGCACTATGCTCAGAAGCTTCAGTCTGGGTCCCGGTGGACAGTGCCTCGACGAACGCCCTGTCTTTTGTTGGATGTTCCTGCTCCAGAAAAATTTCTTTCTGCAGAACCTTTGTCTGTTGGAAATCTTGATCTGGTAAGATGAATATGGTTATTAGAAATAACATAAAATGAAATGTTTAGTATAGGGGAAGCTGTTGCGATCCAGTGTGTTACGAAAAATTCAACAATTACTGCATGCTGCTCTTTATTATTCTTTACTGTGATGTTTCGTACACAAAAAAACACCCTTGGAGGCCTTAAAGCTAGAACATCTATTCAGATTGTGTTATTCATGCCCACACTGTCATTGGATAACAATAATTATATCAAAGAGTTAAGAGTTTATTGACAACTCATGGCTTCAATTTGTTTTAATTTTATTGTTAGTATTTGCAAGAGTTTTAGGTTTGAATACATATGAAAGTTTTCTCTTAATTTGAAAAAATAAATAAATAAAAAGTTTAAAAAATGGTGGATGGGCATAATCACTTTGCCGCCACCTTTGCGGTTGAGTTTCAGAATTTGTTAAGAATTGATCCAAAACAATATATCTTAGACTTGCTAAGCAATCATATTTTTCTTTACAAAATACCAATTAATCACCATTGTCATCATAAACTATTAAGTGTGATCTGTCTTAGACCCGACGGTTATTCAACTGTGTGTTCCTGTTGCTTCCATTTATTTTGTGGTCTTCCTTGTTGTCTGTAGAAGTAAAACTAGTAGTATCAGAATATTATAATAATATATTAATAATATAAATATTACAATATGAATAAAAAAACAAAAGGAATAAATATAGATTTTCATGGCTTGCATTGGTCGCGTGGAAATACAGATGTCTTCGAACATTTTATATAAACTTTCAGCAGACATCCTCAGTGGCTGTGTGGTAACTGATTAAGCATTTTCTGATCAGCACCTGAATGACTGATTCTAGTCCACACAGCCACGAGGATATCTGCTACCGTGTAGAATAAAATGTTTTCAAGAACTGTCCACTTGGCCCCAAGCTATCAGGTGGATAAGCAGTAACTGTTATATTAAAAAAAAAAAAAAACAGGCGTAGTTTTAATTTGGTAAAAGAATGGTAATGTTTGTAGTGGATGATCAAATTTATCATGTGAATATTTCATCAACAACTGTGAAGTATCAAATGGGGAGGAAGCTAGATTTTGTTGCTGCCATTTGGCAGTTGATTGATAGGTAATATGCACAATGGCTTGATGAATGTGTTACCTTTTTAGAAAGTACTAATTCACTTCTGTAAACTATTCAATATTCTGGTGAAAATGCTGATCTTATTGATATAATGAATAAATATATTGAGACTCCTCAAAAGTAGTGGGTTTCCACATTTGATATTTTATGATCTTTGGCGAGTGACCAAAAAGATTTTACTCTGGATTTTCAAGAGAAGGGTATTCAATTTTCAAAATCTTGTTTTCTCTGTGCAGATAACGAGTGCTGTTTCGAAGGCCAATGCAGCACTGCAGGAGCTGAAAGTGGAGCACAAGGAAGATTTGGTGGTGCCCTTCCGGATCCCATGAGACTTCTCTCGGGCCAACGGGCTTGTCATGGCTGTGGCCATCTCAGGCGAGCCGGGACGCAGCCCTGTGGTGGTGTGCGTGTGAATGGTGAACCGTTGGCCTTGAGCAAGAAGGGATTATTGTTACTGAAGTGTTATTTTTTCTTTATTGTTGTACTTGTTTTGCCCTCCCTTGAGATGAATATGTATATTGTGACTTTTTTAATGGATACCAACGATTATAAATATATTAAGTGTATGTGCATGTGAGAGTGGTGACTTTTGTAAATGAGAGAAAGGTGCATAGAGTCAAATATTGAAGTGTTACACAACAGTGAAGTTTTTGAATTGCAGTGTTTTATAGCATTTGAAAAATGGCATTTTGTCACTTGTCCTCATTCTTACTTTATTGTTCTAGGATTTATTTCATGTCGCATCTATTTTCGACTTACTTTTTTATATTGTTTCATGCCTTGTTTCTTATTAGTAATGATGTCTTCCAATTTGTTTTCTTTTAGAAACAGGGAAATTAGAATCAGTAGAAATTATGTAAATTATTGCAAAGAGGAGGCATGGGCAAGTGACATACCACACACATGCTGGAACTGACCTACCAGTAAGGTCTCTGTATTATGTAGGAGTATTTTGGTATTTCATGAAACTTGAGTATTCCAATAATTTATTTTTAGCCTGATGTACTCATAAGAATATAAGTCACTTCTATCTGAAGAAAAGTTTCATTCCAAAATGCTTAAAAACAACAAAGTAATTGACCTGCTAATCCCACAAATTGCACATTGTGTTTGTATAGCATTGATGTAAATAAATAACTATTTTGATAAAAGCAAGTTTTGCATTTCAGACAAAGCCACGTGCATGAAGAAATTTATAAGAACATTGTATTTAGGCCAGTTGCAGATTCATATTAATTATGGTAGTCTCAGTGTTTTATTGGTACTTTCTGTCAATTTGATGATAAATTCTTCAGAGTAATTGCATTAATCTTGTGTGTGGGGGTGTTTAATTGTAATGTCTTAACTGTTACCATTGAATCATTGATGTTTGTGAGCTTTCATTTTCTGTCATGATTAGGAAAGCTGGTGCTGACTAATTAAAATATGCGTGAGAGAGCACCCAACTAGGAAAGCCATTGTAACTAGTCTTTGATGCAAGTTTTTGTGTGAAAAAGCTTATTGCTCTGGAGGACGTTCTGTGAAAGACCCATTTATTGATAAAAAGAGAGATAAGGCTTCCAGGACTTCTAGAGATAAATGTTCTTGCTGGGAATCAATAGATATCCATCAGGAGTTTGTCTTGCTGATCAAAACTTATGGACTTTGTTTTCTAGGATTCAGTGAATTAAACATTTCTGAAGATAGTAGGCTACTTAATTTTGAGGTTACAGATTCTACTATGTGCAAACTGCACATTGAAATGAAATATATTTTCTTTTTTTTAACCTAGTTTCAGGATCAACAGTTTTATCTTATTTCATGTTTGACGTTTTGATTCTTGCTTGAGATGCTTTTCAAATTACATCTTGGTCCAAAAGTTCTAGAGAACATTTTATATCTTAAAAACTGGAAATTTGTACTTCATTGAAAACATTTAAACTGTTTTAAATTCAAGTCGGTCAGGAGCCATTGTATTTTTAACCTGTTGACTCTGTCACTTGAGCTGCCTTTAACTGAATTGTTTTTACTTTCTTGTGCCCAGATGAAAATTTTTGTAAAAGCTCCCAATGAAGAAATGAAACATTGGGAATGTCATAAAATAAATTGATCTTGCTTGTTTTCGTTAAAAAAGTAGCAAAAATGCAAAATTTGACCGTAATGTAAGACATCCCCCTAATTTTGAAGAGGCCTCATGAGGATTTTTTAATTTTTTTACTAATTCTTGCTATTTGGTCAAAATAAAATTACAAATTTTCTTATTGAGAAAATTGCCTTATTGCTGAGGATGCTAAGACTTATGAACTATAATTTTCTTATGAAATAAAATTAAGATGTTCATATTCCTTTATCACGGAAGAACATTTCCTTCTGTATTGACAGATTCTCTATCCATCCTGCTCGTTTTGATGGTTTCTGTTTCTGTTCAAAATGCAGATTCGCTTTCTTTGGTCATCGAACTGAGTTCCGCGCAGCCTCATTTTCACATTATGTTTCATTTGATACAATGCCATTCGTTTTGAAATTTTCTCTTAATTGGCTCCTTCAAAAATATCTGTCTCAATTGCCTGGTAAATTCGCGGTGGATGCCGAGAACATGAACTCGAATATAATTTCGTATTGTAAATATGCATGATGTTTTTGCTGTCTTCGCAGTTTATTGTTAAGTCAACATTGAGTATCGTGACAAGGACTGGTGTTATGAGAACTTATACTTCAATTGACTAGGTGTGATCTGTGAATATATGACGAACCCGCATTTTTTGACTGAGATATTAAGAAAAAATAGTCTTATATTCAGATAAATGCGGTGAAAAGCTAGAAAACTGGATTTTTCAGGAGATACTTGAAGAGGGTTGTGAAATTGAGATTTTATTTACTATAATGTGACAAAGCCATTAAAGTGTTTCACAACTAAATACCCACTTCCTTTCTGATAGGGCACTGCAAATTATCACTGAATAATCAATAATTTTTAAAAACGTCTACTTTTTAACATATTAGGTTGTGCCTTAGTACCACAGAACTAAAGTAATATTATTAACAATACAACAAACATTGGCATATACCTTCAAAACTAACTATATGCATTCAAGACTTTTTTAAATGTCAAAAGTTGCAGGCATAATTTTGAGATGGAAACCAGGAATGGGCAACTGTTTACTAGTAAAACAAAGTTGATCAGTTGATATTTTTGAAAAAATTATAATACAACAACAAAGAGCAACAATTGGAGATATAATTTTTTTCTCTTGCTCGTCTCCCCTGATTATTGCAATTTAAAATTAACTAAACAAATTCTTGTCTAAATCTTGAAATGAAATTTGTGCATGTGTGAATGGCACTGTAATAATTTAAGTTCTGTCCTTACTCCTAGGATTGGAAGAATAATGGATTTTATATTTAATGATTCATATTTTTTACCTAGATAGTACTTTTAAGGTCTAAATACATATACAAAGGTGTTTTGTCCAATAATATTTTCCTCAAAAACCACAACGTAGAAAGGGATGTGGGGAGAACTATTGCAGTTTTATATATATAGTATAATACCAGCTGTGGAATCCCCAGTACACCAGAGCTTTATAAGAATGTGCAGAATATATAAGTTAAAATAGAATACAGTATTGGACTAAATCAAAACCTCTTGTTCTTCTGTTTCCTTTTCCATTAGTATCTCAGCTAATCTAATTGGGACATTACAGTTGCAGGGGTTACTGCGATACAATGAGTGTAATGCATATACATCAAGCAATTTGTGAAATAAAACAATTGATGCAACGATTTGCTGTGCTGGGCTAATATTAACCAATTCAGAGTTTTATCTCAGCAAAATTGATATTTGAATTCTATATGCTGAATAAGAGGTCAAAAGAACCATTTAAAAAATATTAAAAGTTTGTGGTTCTCTCTTTATTTATGCATGTATCAAATAGAAGCCAGAAAAAAATGTGCTATCAACTAAAAACTCCTTATGAATGCAAAAGGAATTTGCACTGCAAATCAAGAATGTAGGCTTCAAAAAACATTTTTTTGATATTACCATGAAGATTGGAGGTGGCACATTACGGGTTCATGAGCTGCAAGATAGATATTCACATCTCTTACAATCATGGTGCTAAATATGATGTGTAATTCATTTACATTTTGTATTATTTGGATTGATGTGTTCTTCGTGCAGTGTCAATCTTCACTTTGCTTGCAGGGCAAATTTAGGCATTCAAAAAAAAAAATTACCAGCCTGTTTAGCCTATGAATTAGCCTATTTTAACAATTAAAGGTGTTCTATTTTATGCTTAGTCTTCATGGTTTGTACGATAGAAAGTTCGTGTAATGTAAAGTATTTGTAACATAAAATAGATACATTTATCATAAAGATATGTTGCCACCTTACTCTACTAGTGGTTACCTTAAATTGGCTATTGATCATATCAAATTTAACCTGTTATGTTTAGTACAAAAGGATCTGATTTTGAATATTAGTAATGTTTGTGATAAGTAAATTTTATTATTTAACTGTACAGACAATTATTTACCTAAGAAAATATACAAAATAAAATTGGCACCTGTCAAGAGTGTATTTTCCCTGAAAATTATACACAACACGTTAATAATTTTCAGAAATTAATAGAATCTTGTTTTTTTTCTTTCAATTATAGGACTACAAAAAAGGAAACAAAACTTAGCAATTACAACTGAATTTACAGAGTTTCGGAGGCATACATTCACCCAACTGGGATGTTTTTCTTTCAGTTAAATGAAAAAAAAAATGCTTGGTCCAGCAGGGGGACTCTCAACTTCATATTCTTTTCTCTTACATACTTCTTGTTTGCATTTTACAATACACATTTACCCAATTCCATTAAAACTATTTTACAAGGTCTCTAGTTTTGTGGTTCATTTTTATTAGCTTGAGCTGGTATATTTGCCGGGTCATTTGCACTATAAATATTCATACATACATAATGAAATGGGAGAGATTCCCTTTTATAAATAAAAAATCAGAATGCAAAAATACTTTCAAAAAGTTTAATAATCAAATGACTAGAAAGTTTACAAGTGGAAGCACAAGATTATCTACTTGATCAGTCTTGGCTTCTATGACTGATGTCAGAATAACGCTTACAGGAATGGTCACTGATACCCAACTAGAGAGTTGTATTACACCTGCCAAACAAAAGCCACTTTTTATTATTATTATTACAACACAAGTATATTACAAGCAAATCGTATTTTAAATAACTTCTTTCAGCTAAGGTGAATAACAAATCATTTCTGAGGATTCAAAACTAGAGAAGACATTAACAGAATCAGATGAAAGAAATATCTAGTTTACATTTAAATTGGTAAACCGTTTCAAAATACTGGTGTGTGAATACAAATATGACTTACCTGAAAGGTATAAAACTATAATAGCCAACATCTGTCCAACCACACATGCTATTGTACCTTCAATTGACTTATTAGAGCCTGGAGGGAAAAAAAAACAAACAAAAACAAGTTTCAGACTATATTGAACAGTAAGTTTTCAGTGTTGCACTGATTCAACTGGAAAATATATTTCAAAATTAAGAGATTTTTATTTCTGTACAGAATTATTTTAAAATATTGCTCTGGTATAGTACACCTACTCTTTTGGAAAACTCCAACATCATGCAAAATCATCACTTACATACAAACTTGATAAGATTAAAAGTTTAAATTATCAGCAGAGGAATCCATAATGGGCACCTTAGATAATTGATCCTGCAAATTAAGCTGCCTCCCACTTCTCCAAGTGGTTAGTTGAGGGCAACTTAAAAATTTTAAAAGGAAGACTTCTTTTGAAAGTTCTTGTTGATTTTGTTGCAATGTGAAAATTAGACTTTACGACTTCTGTCTTTTGTGACTTGCATGAAAGTTGTTTAAATGAAAATTTAAATAATTTCAAGGATCCTCTGATCATGCCAAAATGAAGCTGACTCCTCCATCCCTGTTGATGAGGCAGAGACAAAACTTATGGGATATTTTAATTTGAAAGTACTGCTCATAGGGATCAGTAAACGAACATTCATTTTTAGAGGAGGCCCAAGCTGATAACAAAAACAGTAGGGTAAGGTTTTTAAAATGGTACAGAATTTTGAACTCTGGAAGATGGGGGAAGGAGTTGAAACAGATGTTCATCAGAGGGAAGGAGGTAAATAAAAGTAAAATTGTGCAAACATATTGTTTAGATTACTCCATATAACTCAATTTACTTTTGCATTTAAGAAAGAAAAATTTTGCTTCAATGTAGCTCAGTAGGTGATTGTGAAGTTATAGGGTTTGAAGAATATACGAAATTGTTAACTTATTATATTAATAAACAAACATCTTCATCAAAATATTTTACCTGGCCATTTGTGGCGACCAAAGCGACTGCCTATACTGCTGGCAAGTGTATCTCCAACTCCTACTGATAATAAACCACTGCTCAAGGATATGATGGTGCTTGGACTTGAGCACGCAACTGGATGGAGCCATAATGGTAATGAACAACCAGTTAGGAGGTAAATGGGTGTCAGAGCTAGGTTTCCAGCATCTTTCTCATCTGCATACACAGCAAATCCTTCTTGCAAACTGTTACCAAGAGGTGGAATGTTAAGTAATCTCACCAACTGCAGGCAAAATTGTAAGAAAGTAATAAATTCATTGGAAAATACTCAAATTAAAGACTTATTACAAGTAAAACACTAAAAAAAAAGTCATGTTTGAAAAACTGTTCAATTTTGATGCTTTTTTTTATAGTGAATGCCTTCATTTCAAAGCAAATCTTTTAAAGCAGTTAATACTTTTTATCAATTTTTTGTGAAATATGTTCAGAGTCAACTTTGATAATTTGTAATTTCACATATACATATTATATAAAAAAGGTTGTTGTTGTGGTTTCTTATTATTTCATAGTCAGTCAGGATTAAGTAAAGTTTTATTGGATGAAGTCAATGATTTATGTACTTGTAATTTGGAGTTTAATGTCAGTCTATATCTTTGTTTACAATATTACACAGGCAACACAGACTTTTTGCCTGCATCTTCAGACTCTTAGAGGTATGTGTCATGTGTCAGGTCTCTTCATGTTGTGTTAATGAAGGGCATGTTCATAAAAAAGAAATTTACAGACAATCAACTACAAATTGAGTTATAAACACATTTTTGAATTTATCCATTAATCCTTGAAAGTCCAACACAAAATCTATATCAACCAAGTCCGGCAAGAAGAGCAAACATTGCCTGTGGTTGTTATTTCAATCTATGGCTCTTAAATGTTTAGCAGTTGAAAGAATTTAAAAAAATTATTGTTGTGATTTGATATTCATTTATTTCCAGTTAATAAACATTTATAAAAGTTAAAAATTATTGAAAACAAGTATTTTAATTCTTAATATCCTTTCATAGAAATTAAGTGACCTGCATTCATGCACTGTCAGTCACTCACAGTTTGACCACTTCCAGCCCTCCAATTGAGACAAATGAGGTGACATTTGACATATATTGGTGATTTCCTGATTATTATTTTTTGCAGACTCATACATAAAAATTTCTAATATTATGTTTTGGTAGCTTTTTAAGACACTAAAATGCATTTTGGGCGACTTATGGCACATTCAGAGGTCAATTGCTCATTCAAAAATTAACAAATCAATTGACACCAATCTTAACCAGTTCCCTCTTGTATATTGTGAAGAATGCTACGGAAATACATATTTCTGTTGGTTTCAACGCATCTATTTTAAATTGATTTTACACTCTTTCAAAATTTTCATGAATTGTTACAACTTGACTCATCGGATTGAAGACAATTAAACCTAATTCTGAAATCAAATAAAAAAAATTAATCAAGTATTCTAATCAATATTATTTCATCTACGTTTCTATACCCAAAAATCAATAGGCCAGGCAACTGTAACATGCTTAAAAAAATTATATCCTTTAACTTGCAAAGTACAAATAAAACTTTTTAACATGTATATGCCCGAGGTGCAACATTAAGATAGTGTTATATTATTCCCTAATCACACCTGAAAAGTAGGTAATACATGTTATGTTTTATTGAAAATGTAATAAACTATAATGCTTGCCACATCTAGCACGGGTTGTTATTACTTTAGTCTTATTATCTTGGAAACATGCAGAAAAATCAAGTCCTTTAGTACTTTAACTTAGTATTTTGTAATTGTCTGACTGTCTTTGATAAAATTCTAATAAAAAACCATGCTTACATTTTATATTTAACTACTTGGAGGAAAGTATGCAAAGGACCCTAATAGACAACTTCATGGGTCTGTAAACGATTTTAATCAATCAATATTCTGAATATATTTAGAAAAAAGTAAGCTCAGCCATAATCCCCCCCCCCCCACCCAGGTGTTTCTGAGCTTAAAACTGACCGTAACTCTGACTGTCAATGAAGTAATATGGGACCCTTACCACAAGTATTATAAATCCAAATCATAGTTATATCCTATTTACTAAAAAAAAACAAATAAAGTTGTGTAGGACTGCAAACAATTGATGCCTAGATTGTAAGTGAATGTATGCTTTGGAGTGTACCTGAGAATTAAAAAGTGTTCTTTTTTATTTTTATTTTTAAACATCCATCTGTCTGACTGATTAACACTAGTGCCTAAACTATATGTAGGATTTTCCTTGATTGATATGTCGAAACTGTATGCATATTGAATTTGAAATAGATATTTTAATTTTTTGTATGAAGCCCTTAAGACACTTTCTAAATATACTCAACTAATGATGATGCTCAAAATTGCACAGACTGTCTTCTACTAATTAGATACTTTTTTCTTTTGAGTCAGGGCTTTCTTTTCTTTATTTTGGAGCACCCCTATTTCCACCTACAATTGGCACATAAAGTAGCTATCAAAGCTCTTTTGGTAACTAGCACTCCCCTTGAAAAGTCCCTTGTGCTCCCGAACAAATGTATCCCTTTGGTTCCTCTCAGTCCAATGAGAACTTTCGTCCCATTTCAATGCTTGTGCCACAGAGTTAAAAAAATATTTAGCAAAACAATTTCTTAAAAATTGATAAACTTTTAAAAATTAATCGAAAATATGAAAAAATGAGAAAAGACCCACATGCAACATCGAGGAGTGATTTTACACATTAAACTGAGTGTTGAGATTTGTTGCAGTTGAGGCAATATGAGATATTATGGCTAGGAGTTCAGAAAGATAAGATTCTTAAGTCAACATATTTACAGAACCTAATAGATGACTTCATGCATATGACACTGTGAGCCATCTCATTCCATTTTTTAAATATTTTTTCAGTTTAAGTCAAATGTTCAAAGTAAGAGAAGACCTACCCATTCTGGAAGCACTTACCTCCAGAACAACAAACAAAGCTAACACCACAGCAGTGGCCAAGTAGAGTAAACAACAAGCAGTCACCAATCCAGGAAAATATACTGCTACAGCCAAAATATGAAAATACTTTCGAACAGAAGTAGAAGCTTGTTGACCCTTTTGAATTTGATAAGCTACAGCAATTGTTGCTGCACAAACACACAGCATCCAGTACCCAACCAACCACACCTACAAAAAAGAAACAATGTCAAGAAATTGTTTTAATAAAGAATACTGGTTTGCTGCAATTTTTCTCATTGTCTCCATACTTCACTTGGTTGACTATATAATTACATAATGCTAAAGAGGGGAGGAGGGGGTTTGAGGCAATGTTAAGCGGTGTTACATGGGGGTAGGGGGTATTAGTTCAGTGTTATGCAGCATTGATTTCTTTTTAACATTATTTAATATTTTCTGATATAATTCTTTTTCTTTTTATCATGCACTAAAACATTAACTAATTAATCTGTTTTAAAACCATAAAGAAATTAAGTTATGACATGTTAATTGTTACAATATTAATCAAAATATTATTTCAACAATTTTTAATTAAATACGTAAGATTACGAAGAAATATTCAAAACTGATATGTAGTATATTCTACAATCTATTTAAATTGGCACAGTTGACTCTTGCCTCGTGCATGTATCATTCACAATGAAATGTGCACGACTTGGGATCAAACATTTTCTCGCCTACGCGTCCTTTCATTCACAACTTACCCCAATCTTATTGTTAGGTGCAGTCAGCATTGCCACTAATTTCTATTTAAATGATCATTAATTTCAATATACAATACCAGTACAATTTTTTTTTACTCTGCTATAACTTATAACTTACTTTCACTTCTTTTGCATTTACGAATGTTGTTGCAAGCATTACGTTAGGGAGGGTGTCACACGCGCATTACGGGTGCGTTAGAGGGAGTATTGAAAATACTCCAAATTTGCGTAGCATAATTTATGGACAGCCCCTTATGAGGCCTTGTTAAAGGAAGAAAAGGGCCAAGGCCATAGGCCTAGAACCTGGGTTCAACGTAGAATAGAGTTTGATTCAACTACAATATATTCCATTATTAGGATTTTATCTTGGGACAATATCTTGAATAATGATAGTGCACTGTGAGGATCAAGGAATGATCAGATAGCAGGAATGACAAAGTCACCATGTTGGCGTGAGCAAGTTTGTGAACAACAGTGACAAATCATTGAGGATCTGTGAAAATGAAGGCAGTGTTTCAGGAATTCTCTATAAACCCGGCTAAAAAAAAAAAAAAAAAAAAAAAAAAAAAAAAAAAAAAAAAAAAAAAAACACACACGACACACACACACACACACACCACACACACACCTAAAACAAAAGGTCAACTGATAACTGCATTTAATATTTTCAGAAATTAATATAAAGCATCTAATATGATGATTTCGCTTTTGAAATGAAATGCATTGGAATGTGAATTCTGTAAATCTGTGTACTCTGGATATTAACATTCAAAAAATTATTAATTTTTTTTTAGCAGTGTCCACTTGAAACTTGTTATTGGATATTTAAGGAATAATAAGGTTTCTATAACTTTCATGAGGGAAAAATATACTTACAGTTTTCAAATTATCATTCCATATGAGAAATATAATCCACAGTACAGGGCTGCGTCCAAGCAAAAAATGCAAAGATGGTATCACAATCAGGAACAGAATTCCAAAAACAACTCCATAAAATGGACCAGCTGAACGAGAAGCTGGTATGAAGTATAAAGTAGCACATATTGCAAATACACCTAAAAGTCCCACCTGTTTAAAAAAAAAGGTCTTTAATGTTTTATTTTATGTTGTATGATCCCAACACCCAACTATTAATTAATTTATAATATTTTAATGCAATTTTAAAACGTAATAAATAAATAAGTTTTTTCTTTCTTTCATTTTCAATTCAATCATTTAATTTCATTTAATTATGGTTCCAGAGAACACATGCTGCAAGAACATTTACACTTTTTTATAAATAAAACATTGTGGAAATCTATTTGATACATGATCAACACAATATATTCTAAATAAGTTTTATTATTTCATTTTAAAGTCCCTTATTCATTGAGGTTTTAATTTAGTGCTTCATAAAAGAAAACTGTAATGTACAATGATACCTGCAGAATTAATGTAGCAATTTCTGTATCTTGTTCTGGTGCTTTATAATATGTATTGCGTATGTTTTCAGTACTGGAGAATAAGAAAAGAATTACCGCCTGTGTCAAAATTGTTGCTTCTCCAAATGTAAAGCAAAAAGGAAAAGATTTCATTGAAAACATGAGACCTGAACTAAATGTATAAGAAGTTAAAACTCCACACCCCATGCTGAATGCCAAGCCTGGAATAAAAATTAGATATCAAGCTCCATAATCACTCTAACCATGTAAACTCCATAACTAATTAAATTTGATATATTATATCAATACCTCTGTCATGTACAAAGTACAAACGACAACTGGTGAACACAAAAGGAAATATCATGCCAGAGTTAAAATTGTGATTTTCTTTTGGATTTGATGAATAAATTGCTAAAACTATTACAACACTTGCTATGAACAGCCCTGAACTTAAATCACTGGCCAAATTGAATATTTCTGAGACATGAGAATATTTGAAACAATTAACAATCATTATCCCAGGAAGCAGGAAAATGAGCCATACTCCTGGCCCTGCGTGTGGCCTGCAACATTGAACATTTTCATACAAAATTGTGAAACGAAAAAACGCAAAAAACCACCTTACAAACCTTTACCTACCTTGGCTTGACATTACATGTAGCCAAGATACTTCGTGTTTTTTCTTCCAAGATACGCAAAATATTATTCATTCTGATTTTTTGTAAGGCTGATTTAACAAATTCACATGTAATAACACAAAAGGTCAAAGATCACGCCACAGAGTTGCAACTACGTGCGTTTTAGGTTATCTCCGTTCAGATAACTAATTACTTGACGTGATGCTACAAACGAGCCTAAACTCTTTACATTGTATTAATATTTTATTAGTGTTTCTTTAAAATAAATAAATTTATTTAATCGCGCCATCACAAACGGTGATGCGTTTTCACATTTCCGGCCACTTTAACGAATTGCCACGAAATACGCAGGAACTTGCGTTCTCAGTTCCTCGCAGATTTACTGTCCCCTTCTTCGTTTCGACACATTTTCATTTGGCAAAGTATGAATTTTGTAAAATTGCTCAGATTCGCACCGTTTTGGAAATTCTTTCCATTTTTATAGATGAAGATTTTTAGGCATGCCTTTTTCCCCAAATATGCCATTACACAATATTTAGTTTTGATCAAGAAATCTTAAAACTTCGTTTACAATTTCAGCCACTGCTATCTTATACCAATCTAGCCACTTCTGTATACCAATCATGTACTCACAGCATGTAATTATTGTAGCTGAGTTTAACTAGAGAAGTATACAAGTTCAGAATTCGCAAAATATCAGGCACTGTGCCTGGGTAGTGCGTACTATCCCAAATTAGTTTCAAATTTTGGCGCATTGACAGTTGAATGTGGCTTGACTTATTTTAAAATTTCGCTACTGTTCGCAATACAGTCCTGTGTCAAAACGGTACAATTATTCTATCATTGTAAGTAAAGCAGAGGTGAATACAGCTCTTCCGCAGTTATTTCTTTCAAATGGAGTTGCCGTTATCAATGTTTTCGGTTCCTGTCTTTTTTACCTGCTTCGTTTTAAAGAAGCCGGGAATTAAAGAAGCAACGGTGAAAAATAAAACATAAAAGCAATCCCATCTCCGAATGACAGAATTATTCATCAAAAATAACTCCACGAAGAGTAATTATGTTCTATATAATTTAATATCTCGTTTTCTCTTCTTTTGCAGAATCCAGCAGTTCTGATAGTGCTTCAATGTTCTATATTAGAACCACATCTTTCATCCATGGAGGGAAACATCAAATACATTTTTACCTTGCATTCTAGTTTTAGCACTGCAACAAGCATACTAGTGCGATCGTGACCTGACAGATCTGGACTCTATTCTTTAGGTCAAAAGTCAAATCCTGATCAGCCTTTGGTATTCGTGACTAATTTTTGTTTACAGATTTGAATCAGGACATTTGTTTGTTGCATTTTCCACGATAGAATACAGCGTAAGGTTTCCTTGAAGCCAAGTTTCAGAGAATTTGTGTATAACTGATGGTGCTAATTGATAATAACACGTTGTTTTTACATTTTTGCTGGAGGCTAGGGGGTGGGGTCCTTGGAGCAGATGGCGAAGATGATGATTAGCGCATGATAACATGGAGTGCAATGTCTTGGAGACGATCAAAATAGGTAGATCAAAACGACCATTGATTTTCGAAACCTGTTCGGTTTGCCTGACTGAGGGTCAGGCTGACTTGTTGGCCTTGATCGTCACGAGGCACAGTAGCGACCGCGAGCGCCTGTGCTGAAGCGCCTCAGTTGCGGCATGGCGCTTGAGTGGGAATGGAAAAAGATATTTACTGTGTTAGGTGTATTGTCTTTATGTTTTTTGATAATACCAATTCCAATAGAGCGGAATGGCATGAAGGAACATGAACATGAATTTAAGATATTTATGAAAAAATTTAACAAGTCGTATGATGCGAATTCCACAGAATATATTCTACGGTTGTCAAATTTTCAGGTGAATAATATTATTAACGTTTAGTTTTAATGCTTTCTTAACACAAATAAAACCATTCACTTCTGATATTTTCTCTGCACCATTTGTAAATTTATTGTGCTGGTATATAATTAATTAATAATAGATGAGTGTGGTATATTATGTAACTTTTATATAAATATTTTTTCACTCTGTTTAAGGAATCAATAAAGAAAATCAAGGATCTCAATGGTGAACGAACTTCAAGTGCTAGTGCATTATATGGAGTAACATCATTCTCTGATTTGTCTGAAGAAGAGTTTCTTCGAGATCATTTGCAACCAACTCTTGATGCACATGTCAAGAAATCACACCATGGCCGTCATAGAGATCACAATCACCACCATCACATTAAAAGACAAGTGCCAAAAAATGTACCATTAAAAGTAGACTGGTATGTTTGAGATATATTGATCAAAATTGCAAATTAATGAAAGTTTTAAATAAATCTAATACCAGCGCATTACAGAAGTTATACAAGAATATTTAATATGCCATTATACTTATCATTCCAGGCGAAATAAGAATGTTATAACTTCAGTGAAGAATCAGAAGCTGTGTGGAGCATGTTGGGCATTTAGTACTGTTGAAGTTATGGAAAGCATGCAAGCGATAAGCCATGGAAAGTTAGAGAGTCTCAGTGTTCAAGAGGTATAATAGTTTTTATAATTCGCAAATGTACCTCCAGATGCTTTGGTTACCTTTTAATGATGCTTGTGAGAGATCATTTGCCAATGAGCATAATTGACAAGATGATTGTTAGAGATAATCTGAGGATTTGAAAGATATATAACAAAAGAATCACATATTTAGAATTTTTTTCTTTCTTCTTTTTCTTTCTTTTTTATTTTTCATTAACCAAAACTTTGTAATGTGATGTTAAGGATTTGATATTTTCATCTTCAGGCTATGAATGTAAGAGAGAATTATTTTAAAAAAAAACAACAGCATAAATAACAGGTTGACTAAAATAAATGTTATAATTATAAAGAAACACTAGCACTTGATTTAAAAAAACATGTGAAGACTCCCCATTTCGAGCAACAAAAAATAATTAATACAATAAACTAAATAAATCAATGCATCCACCAGTGCAAAAGCGTGTTCAACAGGGCAGTTTCTTTTAGAGGATGGAAATGACAATGGGCTTAGACCATTGTGAGGTAGTAGGAAAAGGGGGCAGTGGGAGAGGGCTTCAAAATACTGTTAAAAGAAATGTAATAAAAACAGACATATCTTGGGTTTGTTCTTATATATCATAAGAAATTTTTGTACTTATAAATTTTTTAGATGTTACCATCTTTTGTAATAATAATAGCATTACCACAAATTGAAACAGTAAGCCAATATGCACAGTAATTATCTTAAACTTTTTGTTTTGTCACTCTGTATCTGTGAAAAAGTCTGTAGTAATGAATTTAGTCGATATGCTTATTAAGTTGTCATCTCCCCCATTTTATCAATCAAATTTATACAAAATTTCTAATATAATGAGATTGAATAATTACCCTTTTATGTTTATTAATAGATTGATAAAGACAGATTGAAAAGTATTAACGTCCTGGATCAACGCAGTAACTCTAAATCTAATGAGTCTGATGTAAGAAATAAATACATTTGTTTACCCTTTATCCTTTTAATTAAAAAAAAGTTTAATGGAAGAGTTTAAAGTCAAATTTGATGTGAAGTTGCTTAACCCTTTTCCAGGCTACCAATTTTAATGACGCAATCGGGCAGAGGGGGTCCAGTGGATCCAGGAGAGTCTGCAATGAAATTATGTTTACAGGTGTACTTTTTTGATGTGCATAATATAACAGAACTCTCTAATATATTTGTTTAATATAGCAAAACCTTTTGAAATGCTTTACATTTGTTTATTAAACAGTTTTTCTTTAATTATAGATTGCACAAACTGTTACCTTGGTTTTGCTCATTACAGACAGATTTTGATCAGATGCTAAATCTTTGTTTCCTATTTCTTTTCCAAGGGCAAAATAATATCGTTTTTGGCATTGTTATAAATTTTCTGATTTGTGGAAGCTCCTTCTTTCCCAGAAACGAGTGTGATTGTTTGGTGACACTTATTATTCAATTCTGTTTGACCTTTGTCTTACATTTTGTGTACAAACCAAATTCTTTGCAATATCCACAATAAAAAAATGTGATCTAATGTTTTCTAACATTCAGTCAGGGTCAGCAACATTTTTATCGTAGTGCACTTTTCCTTCAAAACCTGGATCGCACACTGCTTAAAAAACTTTCTTCTGACTCGGCTACATACTAACCCACAGCAACACTATCTATGAAGGTGTTGATCTTCGAACCTCTCATCATGTCAGATAACATCCCGATGAAAAGATGCTGCCCAACATGACATCTGTCCATTCCTTGGCCATGAAGTAGTCGTCAATAATCTACCAAACAAAAACAGAAAATGCAATATTGCATGGAAATTAAGAGTTAACCGACCCTTCTTGCCCAGTTGCGGCTGAGAAAAGATAGATTTTTATTTATTATTCAGTAAAGTTTTCATAAAATGGTCATAGGGACATTTAAAAAACACTAAAGCAAATAGTCTCAAAAAATTATCCGAATATCTTGGATAGTTTTCTTGTAAAATATTAAAAATGTTGCTACTGGGTCGAATGGACCCCGGTTGCCTGGATAAGGGTTAACAGTATGTGTTATAAGAGGCATATTGTTGTTTGTACTTAAAGGACCGGAGAGAAATCTTCAAAACATTGTTTATTGCATTAATTGACAACATTATTTGAAATCTTACATTGGGCAAACTAAGAGGAAGTGGAAAAAGCATGTATCAGAACGTGTACGTAACGTTAATGAAATTTCTGATAGACAAAATTCAATTTCCATACATTGACTGGACAGTGAACATGCCATGAATTTTACAGATGTTGGAAACAGAACATGATTATTATTCTAGGTTGGTTTGGAAACACTTCATATTAAATATCTAATAATCTCAACACACAGGTGGAATCGAATACTTTCACATGATTTTATGATTCTGTTTTATCAAACTTTTTAGAGAAATAAGTCTTTGTTTGATTTGTTTGTTTGTTTGTTTGTTTGGCTTGCTGCAGTTCTTTTATTTCTGTTTTTTTAATTGAATGAATATTGCCATTAAAAAAAATATTTTTTTTTTTTTTGATGCATTTTGAGAACTCAAGAAATTTGTTCTTTTAACAGTATTTTGAAGCCCTTACCCTGTTTCTCCTTCTCCTACTGCCTCAGAACGGTCTCAGCCCATTGTCATTTCCATCTTCTTAATGCAACTGCCCTACTGATTATGCTTTCAACTGGCGGATGAACATATTTATTTATTTAATGTATTCATTATTTTTTGTTGTTCAGAATGGTGAGTCTTTACATATTAATTTAAACTTAGTCCTAGTGTTTCATTATAATTATATCATTTATTTTAAATTCAGTAACTTGTTTTGCATGTTTTTAAAAACAAATAATTTTCACATATTCACTTGAGCCACAACATGAGGAAAAATTCAAGTTTTGGAAATGTCGCACAACAGAGTTTTGGTTAATGAAAAATATAAACTTTTAAATTTATATTATGTGATTTTGTGTTTTTATTTCTTAAAGTTTTTAATCACTAGTGTCTCTTGAAAATACTCATCTAATATGAACAATAGTAATAATGACAGACAATTTTCTGTTTTTGATGTCCAGATGGATAAACTTACAGTTGTGGGAAGATTGGAAGTTGTATCGACATTTGTCTCATAATTATATAGTTTTTAATTTGGATACCTTTTATTTGTGTGAAGTTAAATGAGTGACTTATTAAAAATTCAAATTCTATTCAATAGAAATAAAAATAATTTCAATATGTAATTAATGTTTTTTATGAATTTTGCTTGTTATTTTCTATTCTGAAATTATTAACCAAAGTTGATAGATTGTCGATATATTGACAGAAAAGGTAAGAGGGGTGACATTGCCACATCTTTATTTCTTTGAAATTTCTGCTTTATTGTATAGATCTTTTCTGCAGGCTGCATTACAGTACCCTATACACACTAATGGTCACTTATTGTTACAACTGCAACCAAATGCAAACAAGAATTGTATGTATTGTTTCTAAGAGAAGTGTGGGAACATAGCTAACAAAAACATTTACAGAACAGACAACACAATTTAAATTTTTCAAGGTGTAGCAATGTTTCACCCCTGGCAATGTTACCCACGCTACCGTATACCGTTTGTATAAGACAAATGACTACATGTTTATGAAATTGCCTACGCATACTTTGAAATATTGTTTTTTGCATTTTTCCTGCTCATTAAAAATAATTGTTTAACTTTTTTCTTAGACTTCATGAAAGAATATACAAACAGTTTATTGTAACTTTTGTGATGTTGACTGTAGGCTATTGACTGTGCTGGATATAGAAATTTGGGTTGTGAAGGTGGTGACATGTGCAGCCTTCTTGATTGGATGGTTACTAATAATATAGGATTACAACTTGAGTCACAGTATCCTCTACACTTGAAAACTGAGACTTGTCATCTAAACAAGTAAGTTCAGCATTATTTGTTATTCAGCATTTATTGTTATTTTTTATTATTGAAGTACATATATATTGCAGGCAGATGCTATTGAGCTATTTATCTATTGAGTTATTCAAATCCAAACATTATTGTAACTAACAATGTTGTTCAGTCTTTGAATTGTTGTTAGTTGAGTTGTTCAGTCTCTAAATTTGGTAAAATGTATAATGTTGTTCATTGTGAGTCTTTTTCCCTAATAAACAATTATATATGGTACTGCTTTGATCAAAACTAGTTTTGATCATTGTACAATTTGCATTACAAAGAATAATGACATTTTTTTTACAGGAACATAACTGGAGTTCATGTTGCTAGCAACTTTACTTGTCAGAAGTAAGTGATTGTTGCTTCTTAATTTTGACTAAAATTGGTATTGATGCTCAGATTTTTATTATTGTTTTCAATTTAATGTTCAATAAATATTGTTGTTGTTCATGGGCATCGGAGGCATATAAAATTTCTGGGGTAACAGTCAAAGAACTGTGTTCTTCTCTGAATTTTTAATCATAGCTTAGGCAATATTTTTATTGATTTATTGTTGTTAACACAGTGGACACATTAACTGTCTTCGATATAAAAATGAAATTACAATTAAACTACTGAATGTACATTAGAACCTTGTTAACGTGGATCAACAGGGGCCGGGGCTGATCAAAGTTAATAAAAATTTATCCAGGTTATCCAGAGAATGAGGTAAAACAATAAAAAAAGAACATCGACTTACCAAATATGTTTAATGGAATTTAAAAATTTTTATCAGCTCGCTTTCACCTAAAATCTCATTGTAATATGTATTTACACTGTACACACCGTACATTTGTGCTAACTAGTCAGTGGCCCTAAGAAGTCCCAGGGCATTGCTGGGACCATATACTGTGGCAGGTGGCTCAGGGTATGAAGTGATATCTTTCCAGTCACCAGGTCCTAGGTGCGAATTTTGACAGTGGCAGGATTTTTGACACTAGCTGTCAGCTTGTTCAAGTTCAGTTTCTGTTTGGAGTAGGGCGGCCAGCAGTTCTATTCGTTGTTTTCTGTGTTTCTCCCATCAGTCCCAGGTGAATACTGAAATTTTTTACCCTCACATGTGGGCCACGGGCAACATGCTATCATTCCTTCCTCTTCCTTGGCATATCCTCACCCCTTACATACACACACCTTCATTAACATACACTACACTACCACATATGCATTGTCGGGGGATTAGAGCTTGTTCTGGCTGGGGCAATGCTCTGCTAATGGGAGATACCTGTTTGGCATGATGCCCTAGTAAATGAAGATACCAGATTGGGGTGGTGTCCCGCTAGCTGTCAGTAGGTTGGTGCTGAATATCACCTTCCAGTGGGGAAAGATCTTGCACTACACATATGGGACTTATGACCCTAGCAGTTGACATGCACAGATTCACTAAAAACTAACCAACCACTTCCTCTTCTCCCTCTTTCTCCTCTGGATGCGTGGGGAAGGGAAGATGATGACTGGCAGTTCCTGCCATACCAAACCCCCTTCTGTTCCTCATAACAAATCCAGGAAAGTTAAATAATATTGTAAAGAGTAGGGTTGTACTTGCCTGATGCTGTATGGAAAACTTTTCTTGGCTTTCTCAAGAGTAAAAACCTTTTCTAATATTTTTATGACTATCAAGAGAAGCTAACTGACAAGGATGATTGCATAATTGCTTCAAATGTTGTTTTTAAGGAAGTGAGTATTGTTTGAGGAACATATCTATATAATACTGAAAAAAAACTGTTATTGAAAATTTGTTTCTACCTTCTATTGCTTTGTTTTTATTTTTGTTTGATATTCTGTAAGTACAAAGTTACATTTATCCTTTTTAAAGAAATAAACACATTTCATTTACAACTTTTCTTCCTAATGGAAAGGATAGGGAAAGGGCGTAGATAAACATGGGAGAGTTCTCATGTGGGTATGCTGTAAAACCTTAATATTATGTACTAGTTGTAAGTACACTAATTTAAGTATGATAACATTTATGTTAAGTATGATACTTTTATTATTAAAATATTTGTACTCATACATGTATGTGCTTTGTTTTTGTAGTTTGGTGGATGATGAGAATCATCTCCTGACATTACTTGCTTTTCATGGACCTGTGGCAGTTGCTGTGAATGCTGTGGCATGGCAATATTATTTGGGAGGCATTATTCATTTTCACTGTTCTGGAGCAGTGATAAATCATGCTGTGCAGCTGGTTGGTTATGACCTTACTGCACCAGTGCCTTATTATATTGCTCGCAATTCATGGGGCCCTGAATTTGGCGTCAGTGGCTACTTGTACCTTGCTGTTGGAAGCAATATTTGTGGTTAGTATTCACGGGATTTGTGTGGTTTTGAAATTATGAATAAAGATTCCTTCCTCCCAGAAAAATTCCTCCTGGAAGAAAATGTGATTGAAAGAAATTATTTTGCATGCATTTATTTTTAATTTATGCATTTATTCACATTAATTGAGACTTTTATTAATGAATTTCCTGGACAATTTAATGAATTGTTAAATCTCTTTCCAGGTGTTGCTACAGAAGTTGTTTCACTGGATATACTGTGAGCTGAATAACACAGAAATTATCAGACTTGTCATGTCTAAACCTGCCATAATTTTTCTTTATGGATAGATTGTTCTTATTAAATCGTGTTACAAAGATATCTATTTTTAGCTATTTAAGTTCACAGTGGAAGACTTTAATAAAATTTTTTATCACTAATTTGTAGGCCTACTTCAAACAGATTGCCACTCCCTGAGGCTGAGGTGACACCTTGTTTCGTAGAGAGAAAATGGAAAAATGATTGGGAGACATTAAGAATGTGGTATGCTGGGCAGATGCATTGCAGGAGGGAGTGATAATATTTCAGCCTGAAATATTCAGTTACACTAAATGTCTGTGATAAGAAATATTACCTGTTGAATTATTGAAATTAGTCTGTAGAATAAGATGGAACATGGGATAAGTTAGATGAGAATAGAGATGTACATTTGATTTGCATTCTTGTGAAACACCTTAAAAAGAATCATATAAGCAACTATGTTATTTCTAAATATGAGGACCAGTTTCAGTATTTTTGAGGTTTGTAGCAGGATGTTTTCTGTAGTCCATCAGAGCCTTAATTTATAATTTTTAATCATTCTTTGGAAGTTTAAATCAGTATGTAATATTTTCATTGACAGGAGAGTTAATTGGTTGATGAAGCTTAAGCTTGTTTTGTGCCAAGAAAAGAAATCTAAAGAATTTGTAAGATTTTTTTTTAGTTCATAATTGGGTCAAATTCTACTGTTATCAAAGGTGTTTGATCATTAAAATACATATTGTGCAGCTTATCATGCAGTATATTATCTTAAATCTTGGTGATGAAATTTATCACTTGTATAATGAATAGTAGCATGTCATTAATGAGACATGTTCAAAATCTTTGCAGGTTCTAGCTAAAATATCGTCTACTGGTGTACTTAATAGTAAATTAATGAATGCAAGATTTATTGAGGAGTACTATTCAAAAGGTGTATATATCAGTTTACTGTATTACATATCATGAAAAATGTACATTTGAAGTATGTCTATAGTTTTTTAAGCAATTTAAGTTTCTCTGTCACTTTTATTTGTTAATTCTTAATCGCAAGCGATCTCAATTATGTTCAGTTTCAGTATTTATGAGAGAAAGTTTACAAAAATCTATATTTTATTATGTATTTACATTTCAAGCTTGTGGTTCCAATGAAAACTTAAAGAACCTATTTGCTATTATTCTTCAAATGGAACTTTAAATGTTTAATTGAAAAGATATGATCATATGAAAATGTCATCAATTTTCTGACTGTTTTTTAGCACTCTATTGTTTGTCACATCATCTGGAATTACCGTTTTTCCTAAGCATGTGCCAAAAAACAACACATTCAATTTTTTAATATACTCTCGGCTGTGTACTAACTATTCTACATTAGCATTTATTTCACCTGATATACATAATAAAAAAAATTAATTCTACATGACAAGTCTGAACATCTTCATCCTTGTGTTGTTCGGAGATTTTTCTCATGATTGGCTCATCTCAATGGAATATGTTCCAATTGTAGGAGAAAAAATGTTTAGTGTAAATTATATGGGACCATAACTAGTACTTCCAAGAAATTATTAAGTGTTCAATGCAAGTCAGTACATGTGACCTTATCTAGAAATGTGATTCCTACTTAAATTTTAGATAATTATATTTGTCTGTTTTTACACAATTTTGTTACAACTTCAATAATTTTTGTGTAATAAAATATTTTTTAAATATTTGATGGATTATTTATTAAAATTACTGAGATGGTTTTGCTTTTAAACTAATTAACTTACCGTAATTATTTTTTTATTTTATTCTGACCCAGGTTGGGCAACCATTTGAGATGGTTTACGATTTTACTAATTTAATTTGACTATTTATTTTGCACTGTTGTTATTACATTTATTACAACATTACATTGACATTACAAATCTGGGTTTGTCGTAAAATACTATAATTATTATATGTGGACGAATTGCGGCTCTTTACGGAGCTGCAATTCCTGGATGTTCTGCTATATTATCCTGTTGTTAAAACTTTGATGGCAACTTCTACAAATTATCAGCATTTTACTTTGATAATAAAGAATTAACATTTATTCTGCAGATTTACATTTTTTAGTCTTTGAACTCGTTAATGATTTGAATTATCCTTAATTTGTATATTCACAAATTCCGTAGGGTATTTCTTGAAATGTTCGTATGCTTACGGAAATACCTTCCACGCCGGTCTTCAATATGGCTTCCGGTCGAATGCCGTCAATGGTGTTCTTGCGATGCTCTTGCTAACGTCGTAAATTCTGACGACAGGAGAATTTTTGTAATGTTCCCCGAAAATTCTAACAGTTTGATAATCTATATATTAATCGATATATTCAATTAATGCAGTCCGTGAACGCGACATTCCCTTCCTGCACTTCAGATGGAGCGCCTACTCGCAACTGCCTGTTAGTTTACTTACAATAATATATTATGTCCAGTTACGGATCTACTTGTATCTATACTAATCGCCCATGCACGAAGTTTATTTTACATGAATCCCCAAAATCACAAATTACAACACAAGATAAAAATGATACCTTCAAATTACAAATTATATACTACACATAAACAAATCACACACATTATCGTAAGTTTCCTAACATCAAAAAGGCTCCGGACTTACGAATCGGATCGCAAAGTCAGTCCAGAGAGAGGCGACATGTTGGATCACTAAGAAAGCTGTCGTTTCCCCGAAAGTGATGGTGATTGTCGCTTATCAGTGGTGTCATTGAGTGCCACTTAGTTCCACATGGAAGAATAGTAACAGCAGCTTACTACAGGTATTTCATTCTGAGATAGGCACGACATGCCGTTAAGGAGAAACGCCGTGAACTTCTTTTAGTTGAATCATTCTCAGCGATCAGTCTCAACAGCTACGACGCTAGTTCACATACCGGCAAAGGTAGCTCAGAGCTTCAATTGATGTCACTGCTGTTCCTCTGGCCGGGAGGTTCTAAGGTTCGAGTCCGATGGTGGGAAGATTTTGAACTCTAGCTAGATAGCTAGGTCGTATTCAGCCGCGCCGTCTGGAGGATAAATCTTGCTGCCGGCTCCTCTGATTGGTAGTTTGATTTCTCTGATCAACACCAGACGATTGCCGAAGCAGTAGCCTAATAACCGGGACATGGACCGCGCGCGAGCTTTCCTTCCTCTTCTTCGTTCTTTTATCATCCTTTTCTTACACACAATCACATGCTCTTCAACACTACCACACATGTCGAGAGCCTAGTCTTGGCTGGGGCGGTGCCTCGCAGGTGGGAGATACCTGGTTGGGGAAAATACCCGCAAGCCGACGTAGGTCAACGCAGGATCTCGCCAGCCAGCGGAGAAAAATCAACAACTCCCGTGATAAAAACATGCAGTACACTTACGGGCGAATGACATTGGTAGATGACGCACCCGGAGTAACTAACCTATCAATGAATCAAAAAAGCAAGACCACATTAAGCAGACTGTTTAAAGCGGCAACTGCTGCACTGGGAATGGGAAGACATGAAGCACTCAGCATTTTCTCCTGATTTTTCTCCACGTGACTTTGATCTGATACCTAAGGTAAAGGAACCATTCCCTGCTAGGCGGTTTGCAACAGGGCCGGACATGGCATATGCTGTGCCACAACAGATGATCAGATTTACAAATAGCGAGTAAAATGGTGGAGCAGAAGGTATTCATCGACTCTCACATCATTGGAAGCGTGGTGTGAACATTACGGGGGCTGCTTTGGAATGGGTATGTAATGCTTCTGAATTTTGGAATGTCGTATGAGCTGAAATACTGTGAAACATGGAACGAGTTGTGTAATTTCAAATACCTTAATAAATACAAGGAACAAACTTTTGACATGTTAAATATCTATACACATATACAATCCATATCCTGTCATGTGTATATTTGACATTTTCCACCCGTGCTGCTATTCTCTCACAAAACAGTTGCCCTGACTTGCGTCCCAACCTTCGCATGTATTGTGACAGGGCCGAGATATGCCTTTGCGATGTTCGCATAGAGCGAATGTGCTCTTCACTGGGAGAATCCCCCGAGGAGCGGTTGGTGCCCTTAGGTTGATTGATTCCGGGTACGTCAACTGTTAAGGTCCACGCTAGGACGTGAAGGTAAGCTTCCGCGGCTCGAATCCATAAATTCTCGGCTATCCGGGAAACGCCGCGGTCAATGTCAAACGCCGGAGGCCAATGTTTCGCCTGACATGCCGCAGGCTTCCTCAGGGCAGTTCGGTCACTACCCTGAGGAAGCCTGCGACATGTCAGGTGAAACGTCGGCCTCCCAGCTAATGGCGCGGCGTCTCCCGGATAGCCGAGGATTTAACTGTTAATGTCATTAGTCCCGTCAATGTAATGGATGGCTTTCTCCGGGAGGTGGCGGTGATTTTGCCCCTCTGGACGGTGAGAGCCGGCGTTGACCTACCGTCGGCTAGCTGGGTTTCCGCTACCAGATATCTCCCACCAGCGGGGCACCGCAGCAGGCAGGGCAATCTCTTATTTCCCGATCGGTCTTCTGGCATGTATGGTAGTGTAGTACATATGAGTGTACGTAAGGGGTAGGATACGACAAGGAAGATGAAGGAAAGATAGCGTGCTGTCCGTGGCCCGTTTGTTAAAGCATTGCTTCCGCAATCGCTCGGTATTGATCGGAGAAAGCACGGAAAACTACTGATCAGAGCAACCTGCCCCTAGAATTCTCTCCTAGACAACGGCTGAATTTGACCTAGTTATCTAGCCAATGTTGAAAATCCTGCCACCGTCGGGACTCGCACAGAGGATCTCCCGGATAGAGGCAATGTGGTGACATGAGTTGATGACCTGAGTCACCTCTCCCAAAGGTAACCTTAGGTTTATAGGTGTTTAGGCGCTAATGTATGGCTGTTGGGAAGAGGGTAGGGTAAAATGGAAAAGGTATCTCAGACTCAAAAGAAATAGGAAACTAACTAGTACGAGAAAGTTTGTTTTATTCTGGAGCAAGTTAATTTTATTCTGAAAACGCGATACTGCATACATTTCACAGCATTTGATACTAAATCTTACTTTTGACAACACCAAGTGATGCCTCTCTCTGAGTTACTACTGCGAGCCAGACAGTCCCCCAAAGTCACTTTACTCCCTCGACAAGCATTTGATTGCGAGCATTTGTGAAATAAAAGGGAAATATACAATTCGTGGAAATAAAGCTGGACACTTCTCCCTTATCGAAAAGAGAATGAAGGAACTGGACCTTCACCAACTATTATCGCGAGAACATGGTGAACAACACGGATCCATGAGCGGAATGGCGTCGTGTTCATAACCTTAAATGTTTAAGGCGAGTTGATATGTATGCTGTGCGTGCCCAACTTCATGGCAACGCGCCGGTCTTCAGCCTAACTGATTAACATGAAACATCTCTGCGCCTGACCAACGGTTAATTTGAAACGCATTTTATGCAAAAATACTTTTTTAATGAATATCATTTGGCTGGTCTGAATGTCCGAGGTGGCTATGAGCCGTGTACCGACTCAGCGTTTCGATCTGAATGGTGGCGGGGTCGATTCCCGTCTTGAGCATGGTTGTTTGTCCATTATCGCTCATGTATGAATTGTCGCGGAGTGGCTCGCGTTCCGCTGACCCCACATCAGACGAACCCTCAGCTGTGTTGCTGACTAGTGTATGCTCGAATATGCGTTTCATCCAGACGTAAAGCGTAACCGGCTATCGCTTGGATAAAACCCCTAGGAAAAATAATCTGGTTTGAATTATGAAACGGAATGTCCCCTTTCCCGTCATTCGTTCATCGCGTCCATTCACCGATCTCGCGACGTCGGAGTCGATTCATTACAAAAGGGGATACGACCTCAAAACTACACGGGTGTTTTTTTGAAAATTGCAACACCCAGAAGGAATGATCGGAATCACATAAAAATCAGTGGATGTGTAGAGCAGTGTATTCATAAGAAGTTTATTGAATTTGCATAGAGACGTTTGCCTGGCAGCGCCCTCCTTTGTCTGACAGATCAGGGAAGTTTACGCCACGATGGGTGCAGAGCCGGAAAACGACGTGGAAATGTGAAAGCAAGTGCGGGTATAACTTGTCGGCGCCAAAGGGCGCAATATCAGCATCCGAGTGAGTTCGAATGATCGGTCTGCGGGAAGCGAGGTTGTCGTATCGTGTAACTACGGCTCAAGACGCGCTGCTACGACAGTGATGCGTGTGTGGGACTAGAGGATAGAGGAGGGTCGTGCACAGAAAGGAGCTGGAACTGGATCACACAATATTACCACAGCGCGAGATTAGCGCCATCTTGTCCGCATGGTCGTAGCCGACAGAATGGCGTCGTCCACAGTGTTGGCTCGACTTTCGAGCACTGCAACGGGTGTGGTGGTGCCTGCGTCGACGGTTCGAGGCCATGTGCTGAGGGCTGGCCTGGTGGTACGCATACCACTGCGTCGGATTCCGTTGGCCAAAATACCATCAACGACTCAGACAGCAATGGGAACATGAACCAGTTCACTGGTGTGCTCAGTGGCAAAATGTAGTGTTTTTGAACGAGTTCCGTTTCAATTTGGGCTACAGCGATGGCCGCGTGCGTGTTCAACGCTACTGTGAGGATTGCAATCCGCCAGCCAGCATTGTTTCGCGCCATAGTGAGCAAACTACATGTGCGATGTTTTTGAGCGACATTGTCTGCAATGAGCGATCTCGCATTAATCTTATCGAGAGCAATCTGAACAGCAACCGCTACATCAGGAAGTTTTAGAACCCGAGGTTCTGCCCGTTCTACAAGCAGATCCACATTCCGTATTTTAGGAGGACTATGCCCGACCGCATGTGGCGAGGAATGTGCAAACTCTCTGCGAAAAACGACGGGTACCACTGCATCCCTGGCCTGCACGTCCGCCTGACATGCCCATCGAACAAGTCTGGGACATGGTCGGTCAGCAACTCGTTCGTTCTGGTCCTGCTGTAGCCACTGTCGATGCTTTGTGGTCAGGCATAGAAACCGCGTGGCGGTGTGTTCCCCAGCAGCACATTCAGGCTCTCTTTCGAGACATGCCACTTCAT